AATGGGGCTTTAGAAAGACTGTTAGATACAATAATATATAATAATAAAAGCATAACATGCTAATTAGACTGACGACCTTCCTGATGACCTTCCGGACTAAGCCATAGTACCGTGGGGGCCAAGGCAGAGGCAGCCACTGCGGCTGTCGGGGCCGAGCCCCTTGCATGAATTTCATGCACCGGGCCTCTAGTAAGGTAATATAAAAACACGCATTTCATAGCTGTTCTAGCAATGCTGTAATGCCAGAATGAGAACATGTGTTTCCTTCCTAAGGGCACCCAGAAATTTACTTCCATACTGCACTTCTGTTGGCTCCTTGAAAATTCTCTGCACTCCACAATGTTAAGATAAAGAGAACTTCCTCCCTTTAATGAGTAGAGTCCTGTTTATCATTTCAACAATTTAAATAATAACAACTACATATCAAGCCCTGGACTAATTATACTGTTTTATGATGCCCTGAAGTTTTCAGAACACTTTCCCACACAGCCATTCAGTTCTCCCAAAAAGCTGTGGAGTAAATTTCATTAATTATCCTCGTTTTATAGGGGAGAACACTGAATTTCAGAAAGCCTCAGTTGCCGCTGAGACTTTATTCCTTTCCATTTCATTGCTTATTTTCACTCACCTACTGTGAACTTCTCCCAGTTTCACTGAGCTAGGTGAACCGAACTCATTGCACTGGGAGCACTGAATGAGAGACTGCACTGTCTCTTGCTTATTCCTTGCTATTATTAGAATGCTGTTCTACTTAGTCTGAAGGTCTGTGCTTTTTCAAGTTCTTAAACCACAATTTGCTAAAAGAATACATAGATTTTAATTAACATGCTACCTCCTGCCCTACTCACTACCTCAAACCATAGGAAGCCATGGACTTTGTCATTATTACCTTTTATTATGCACTAATTACATAAAGACCCTGCCTTCTTCATTCAGCGGAGAAGTCTTTCTTAATCCACTGAATTAATCTTTGACCAAGTTTCCTGGCTTGCAAGAGCTCCTGAAGGAAAGGAGACGTGGGTCTGTTAGGTCACCATGTCCTTCCATTCTGAGGCTCGTGTGGATTGATTCCTGATGAGCTACATTTGTCAGGGATATGTGGCAGCAGGATACATTCAAGGACCTCATGAGGTGATTCCAGCCCCAGTTTCATAATTCCATTCTATCCAAGCATCTTTTCTATAAGCACCAGCCTAAGGAAGCAGAACTGTAGAGCAAATCTGTACTCCACCCCCAATCTTAGCCTTCCTTTGAATATTCCAATGGATTGGGGGCTGAGGGGTGGAATCCCATTATACGGTGTGACACACACACCTGGTGTCACATGCTTTGGCTTACCTTTCATTTCACCCGGAGCTGCAGCAGATGATCATGTTGATAGGTCCACCTGATGTTGACAGCCTGCCATTTCAAGAACATGCCACACATCCTTTTGCGTTCTGTTCCAAACTTATTTAATACCTCCAGAAACTACCTGGCCTTGTTCCAATGGCAACAGCACAGCCCAGACATGCTGGCAAGTTAATGCCTCCAGGGGCCACCCTCAACCAACTGGAGCCAGAGGTCCGTGAATAAGTGCCCCAGTGGACAATTCTCTATGCTGCTCCCAGTGGAATCAAGCTCCCCTTGCCCACAGTGGTGATCTTCATAACTCACCTCATGGTCATTTTCCCTCCTTCCCTGTCTTGTAGCCCCAGTCCTTTGTTTCTGCTCCCTGGGAACACCTCTCACATAAACTGCCTGCACATGAATCCTAGCTTTGGGTTCTGCTTCTCAGGGTAACGATTTATAGACAAGGGTCCTAGAATTCCAAGCCTAATCATCTCCTCTTACAAGTGCTGGTTAATGGAAATGCAGGGTCCAGAGTCAGTTCTCTAGACTCCTTCGACTGCCCTAAATGAAAATGAGAAGATAAAGCCCTTCCAAGTCCATGCTAGACTTTGGGCCTTTGCATTTATTTCCTCCACCTAGAATGTCCTCTTTGGCTTGTCTTTTGGTCTCAGATTGTTAACTCCCGGAGCCCTTCTCTGACCACACCATTAAGAGCAGCCCCATTCTTCGAGTTACTATGACATCAGCCTGGTTTGTTATTTTCATAGCTCTTACCATTCTCCAATATAATCTTGTTTATTTGCATGTTTCCTGTGAGTCTTCTCTCCACTAGGAGCTTGCCTGTCTTGTTTCCTGCTTTATTACAATGCCCAGTATACAGTCAGTGCTCAATGTTCAGAGGGAAGAAATCCATGTGTTGTACCATAACCTTCACTTGCCCTGATTATAACAACATGACTGCTGTTTTTGAGTACACAGACCATTGGAAAAGAGTTTAGCTCTCCGGCTAGTTGAGCCCATGTAACACTTCTGAATCTCTGGTCTATCTCAAGGATCAAGAATGGTAAGTTAGGGGCCACAATCTTTTCCCTGGAGCTCTGTATCCTAAGCTCAGGGTGGAAACATAGAATGCATCAGTGCCATCAGGACACACAAAAAGTATGCAGGAGGAATAGAGGAATCAAAATGCAAGTCTTCACCCCTTACTTTGGCAAACCTTAGCTCAGGTATACCATAGAGAGTGGAGTGAGACTGAGGCTCTGGGGCAAAGAGATGTGGTAAAAAAAAAAAAAATGCTTCAGTCTGGCTCGAGATCATAACAGGGAAAAGGAAAGGGAGTCCCAGTAGTCATACATGGTTCAGACTAGTTTTCCAGGGGAGGGGACCAGATGAAAATGTGAAGAAGCTGCTCTAGCTGGGAATAACAGCTGTGCGTTGCAGCTTATGCATCCTGTGCTATTTAGTCTCAGAAACTTTGAATGAAGTGTTAGGAAAGTGGATGGGAGAAAGAACAGCACTGACAGCAAGAGTCACAGTGCTTCCTCAGCAAGCACTTCCAGATGCTTCTAACTTGACCGCTCCTTCACCTCTGTTTTTCTGTCTCCTCGCATCTTTCCACCTCATGGCTGTGGAGGTCAACCTTCAACCTGATGTGCTTGCTTGGAGAGCTTAACATGCAATCATAATTCAGAACAGAAAGCGGAGTTTTTATGTGGAAAAAAAAAACCTTAAGTGGAATTCTCCTTAGCCTATGACATGTAGCTATTATCTTAATTATTCTGTGCATTCTGACTGATAGAGCAAAAATTATAAAAATGTCTATACATCGATTATTTTAAGGATTTTTAGGATAGGCCAGAAGCAAATGGTCAAGTTGCTGGACATGGAAGTAGTGCCTGTTGGCCTTGAATGCATCCTCCACAGGATGAAGAAAAGACAAAAAAAAAGAAAGAAGATGCAGCAAGTATGTCCAAGAACTGGTATTTCATAAATAATGACTGGTCTCTCTGAGTTACTAATAAAAATCTTTTATTTTCCTTAACCTTTTTTCTCTTTTCCTTCTATTATTTACTAGAGGCCTGGTGCACTAAATTTATGCACAGGTGGGGGGCTTCCCTCAGCCCGGCCTGCATCCTCTCCAATCCAGGACCCCTCGGGGGATGTCCAACTGCCAGGTTAGGCCTGATCCAGAGATAAGCCTAAACCGGCAGTCAGACATCCCTCTCGCAATCTGGGACCACTGGCTCCTAACCACTCAACTGCCTGCCTGCCTAATCACCCCTAATCTCTCTGCCTGCCTGCCTGATTGCCCCTAACCCCTCTGCCTGCTGGCCTGATCACCCCTAACCTCTCTGCCTACTGGCCTGATTGCCCCTAACAGCCCTCCCCTGCCAGCCTGATCGCCCCTTACTGCCCTCCCCTGCCAGCCTGATTGCCCCTAACTGCCCTCCCCTGCTGTCCTGATCTCCCCTAATTGCTCTCCCCTGCCAGTCTGATCGTCCCTAACTGCCTCTGCCTCGGCCCCCACCTGCCACTGTGGCTTCATCCAGAAGGAGGACCAGATGACTGGAAGATGCCTGGTCGACCCTGTCTCATTAGCATATTACCCTTTTATTAGTATAGATGACTTGATTCTTATTTATCAAGTGCATTCTAAAATTAATAAAACATTGTCACTGCCCTTGAATACTCTTATACTGTATGGGGGCAGGTAGGCATGTAAATAGGTAAGATAAATAATGACCTCTTCTTGGAAAGGACCTGATAAGCCATTATACACAAAAGTGGTAATGACTGGTACGTAATAGCATAAGCTATTAACATTGCCCAGGGATGTCTGCAAATAGAGGATCATGCCTTCAAACACCCACTTTCGTGGAATTTCAAGCATTTGCATTTTCACTACCATCTGCCATCGTCCATTTATTAATGTAGGGTGAATAGCTGGGAACATCCAAGCTCTCTTAGCAGGGCTTCTATACAAAAAGGAATTATTTTAAAAGTGGCACAAAGCTTCCCTGCCCCACCCCAAATTTACCCCTGCTGACTCTGCTGATAGTCCCAATTAAAATTCTTTATAATGAGACTTTTTTCATAAATGCATAAAGTAGAGCAATATATCATTTTATGGTACCATCTAGTTACAGATCTACTGGAAACAACTTAGTACAATTTGTCCTCAAGCCAGTTTAAATGACTAATCCTGGCACTATGCCATATATCCCCCAACACCGGAAGGATGGTGGGTAGCAAGCCTACCACAGAACTATAACTTAAGTAAGCTCAGCCTTTAATAGGTATAATATTAAACCACAACAATCATGACTTCATACTTTAGTACATGCTGCAATAAGATCAGACTCAGCCCTAGAGCAGGAATTCATTTCTACTCCCAGCTCTGTTAATCATCTAGCCTCGTGGCCTTGGACAAGTCACAAAGCTCTCTGGGCCTTGCTGTCCTCATCTATAAAAGAGAAGACCACTTGATTCAATGAATCCAAGGTTCTATCTACCTCTAACCTTGATTAGTAGCTAATGTTTACTGAGTACTCAGAAGGAACAAAAATCCTTTCGGGACTCTATCTGTCACTCATCATCTAAGTTTTGTTCTCATGCATTTCCAAATGGTAGCTTGTTTTATATAGATTTCAATGAACTTAACAACTTACCAAATAAATTGTCAGAAAGAGAAAATTCATCCGCAGCAGGTAAGTGGGAGTGTTGGATGAGATTCATTTTTGATCCAATCCAAACTTTTCTACTGGAGAATGCACCTTTGTTATTGTGGTATTCAAAAAAACACCCTGAAATGCAAATAAATAAATAAAGAGTTTGAGGAAGAAGGTAGGAGATGATTAAGAGAGAGAGGGAGGGAGACTTCATGCTAATTTATAAAACAGTAATTGGCTCCCTTTTGACATTTTGCCAAGGCCTTTCTTTATGTATTTGTTCTCACTATTTATCATTTTTACACCTAAATTGGACTTATAAGTGTAGAGATATTCTCCAATATACCTGGGAAAACACCATATATTTTCACTTAAATATCAACACTTGGGAGATTTGGGCAAAGCATGATGACATTTTGGTTGTGTTTTTTTCTTTTTTTTTCTTTTACATACAAAAAAAACCTCCACCAAAAAACACAAATATAAAAGCCTTGATTTAAAATGGGATGTATTAATGATGTATTATCTTAAATTTTATTCTAAAGTTGAACAGGTCTTTGCACAAACACAAAAGTACTTTAAGACCCCTTTCTACTGGAATATTCTTAAGTTGAGTAGGCACTATGTCAGCAAATCAAAAATTTAGAAAGGATTCCCACAAGATCTTTATCTTTGCCTTTTAGAGAAAATTTAAGGGATTTGCATTTTCACTCTCATGATCTACCTTGGCCATATATTATCTGGGATTTTAAAAAAAGTTATGATAAGCAGAAAAGTTATGGTAAATCTCACCAAAATGTCTGAAGTTTCATCCTGGGGAGTGGTCCAGAACTCATCCCAGAACCCAAGAGAAGCAGTGTTCACTTTTAGTTTTATTTCCAGGTCTTCTTTCCTTCCTTCCTTCCTTCCTTTATTCCTTCCAATATGTCTTCTACCTCCCTGAAGAAGAAATGTGAAAGGTCAAATAATGAAAAGGTGTGTTATCAGAACCTCTTTTCCAAGGCTGTTTTCTAAGGGCGATTTTCAAACCTTTTTATCCTGTCTCCACAAAATAATCGCTTTGTTTACAAATAATAACTATATATATTTTCTACTCTGGAAGAGAACCTAGGATTATTTTTTAGACTAATATTTATTTCATTAGAACTTTCCTATTATTCATATTTCTTTCTCTCTCACTCAGCAAAATGGTCTCGTTAAAGCAGAAGTGGGTAGCAGATGCCTGTGGCTGCTGGTAAGACAGTCCACCAGACAATGTTTGCTGTATTTATTCATTTATTCATGCTTTCAAAATACATTTGTTGGGGACTTATTTTGCACTAAATTCTGTGCTGAATCTTTGGAAATAAAATGATGAAAGGAACACAAGCATCCATGATCTATGACATCAAACTTAATGAATAGAGAGATTAAAAATAATTCCATAAACATACAGATAATTGCATGTTGTATTCAAAGCCGATGATGAAGGCAAAGATTAGGATGCTCTAATATAGAGGTAGGTGTGAAAAGGAGTCCAGATGGGGAAGCAGTTGAGGGAGGATGTGATTTCAAGGATAGTTTTTATTTTTTCCAATTATAGTTTACAATCAACATTATTTTGTATTAGTTTCAGCTGTATAGCAAAGTGACATATACTTAAACAATCATATACTTTACAAATTATTTCCCCTGCTATTTCTATTACCCACCTGACATCATACATAGTTATTACAATATTATTGACTATATTCCTTATGCTGTACTTTACATCCCCATAACTATTTTGTCAGGTACCAATCTGTACTTCTCAATTCCTTCACCTTTATTACCAAGTTCCCCAACACCCTTCCTCTCTGGCTACCATCAGTCTAATCTCTGTATCTATGAATTTGTTTCTGTTTTGTTTGTTCATTCACGTTGAAGAACCCGTATTTTTAATGACAACATTAAACCACCTAGTTAATCAATTGTAAGATCTACTCTACTTGCAGACATTCCATTATGATAGGCAATACTAGGGCACATCTGAATTGATGAAAAGACACCAGAGAGGTTGAAGAATTTAGTAAGAGACAGACAGACACACATGCGCACACATGCGCGCACACACACACACACACACACACACACACTGTGAATCTGTACAGACTGTATCTACTGTGGGAATGCAGACATATCTGGGTCCATCTGGTGAACCAATGGCATGGTCCTATCAAAGTCTACTTTCCAGTAAGCCAAAGGATTTGTTGGGAGAAAACTCATTCTAAAGTCAGAGGGAGCCAGAAACAAGGACTCTTGCCCCAAAGCAAAACCACAGTCATTAGGCGAATGTGTAATTTTCAATGTAGCACAGTATTTGACCAACTTGTACTAGATTTAAGAGGCTGTCCTGCCACCCTAGTGTGAAAAGGGAGAAAATTATAAATAAATTGAAGCTTGGAAACCTTGAGTATAAGGTAGACCTTTCTAACAGAACATAATAAGTAGGAGAGAACTCATTTCAACTCCACCCTCACACTCAAACAACTCTGCCACATATTACAGTGGAACTTTGACCCCAACAGGACTCAGGGCCATTCTGGGGCAATTGTGAAAGAGCAGCTGAGGTATCACCATAACCCATGGAGAATGCCCAGCAGAGTTGCTGTGACCACTGGTTGGTACTGGTCTCTCCAATGAACACAAAAATAGTAGAAGATGTGGTCAGAACAGACTTGATTATGAACAAACATAAAGAGACCCCAAGGCCTCCCTGAAATACATGGGGAGAGGAGGACTCTGGTAGGGAGCCAAAGGTCCTGAGGAATAAGCCAGTAAAAGTTGAGCTGTTGCTATTAATGGGACCTCATTCACACTCACAAGCTATTTGAGGACTTGGGAAATTCCAGTTTTAATGTGTGTATATAAATTGTTATGTATACATTCAATGTGTATACATTATATACATGAATTATGTGTAAATATATATATATATCTGCATATTGTATAATAAATGGATTGAAAAGTCCCTCAAAATTCATACAACTGTTGTTCTAGATTGAGTTTCTCTTATTTTTAGGAAATTCCAGTTTTCCATAAAAATTTCCAGGAACCTACAAAGTACAGAGTCAGGAATTTTCCCTAATATTCAATCCAAACTTATACTCTGTAATTTAAGACCCAGTTGCTCTGGTCTTTAAAAAACAGATTTCAGCTCTCTGACTCTTACATTAGGCTTCCCTCCATGCTAACTTTTTCTCATATTTGCCTTCAGAACCTTCAGTCATGTTCAGCAAGCTCCCCATACTTCTGTAGTACATCACAGCTCTCTGATAGTTCCCAGGTACCATCATCTTCATTTTGCACCAAAATCTTGTATTTTCCTCCATGCGTTCATATCAACTTGGCACCTTCCATTCAAGTGCCTGGCACACAGTAGGCCCTCAAGAAATGTAGGCTCAATTAAATGATTTGTATTAATTGTTTTTCTTGCTTAGTTCCACCAAATTCCCTGACATTTGGTATGCTGATCCTGAATAAATGGTACAAGATAAGGATTTCATTCTCTTATTGCACAATGGACAGAATTTATCAATCTTACCCAAATGAAAGTCCAATTCCACTAATTCTTATCATTTGCGTTATTCCCGCTAACTGGAGACCCACTATGTGGGTGTCCCTGAAGAGCTAACAACAGTGCCCTCAGAATCCAGACAGTTGGCAGAGTCTGCCCAAATCAATATTGTTGGGTTTATGATTCCAGAAGGGGTTTAAAGAAAAGGAACTCTCGAATTTTTAAAACGGCAACACAAGCACATAGCAAGCAATTCAAATAATACACAGAAAAAATAAGTCTTTTTTCCAGTTCTGTCACTCATTTTCCTTACCAAATACAACTACTATAGTCAGTTTCTTGTGCATTCTCCCGGTTACTATGCCCACTCATAGCATAAAGTGCCCTTAAACGCTGTGCCTTAAACTGGGGTTTGGCAAACTATTGCCTGCAGGCCAAAGCTGGGCCTGTTCTTGTACAGCCTTCGAGCTAACAATGGTTTTAAATTTTCAAACAGTTTAAAAAATTAAATGAAGGATATTTCATGGCACAAGAAATTCACTTTTAAGTATTCATAAATAAAGTTTTATTGGCATACAGCAACATCCATTTGTTTATGGGTTATCTAGGTTTCTTTCTCCCTACAATGGCAGAGTTAAGTAGTTGCAACAAACACTCCATGGCCCACAGGGCCAAAAACATTTACTCACTAGCCTTTTACAAGAAAATTTTGTTAATTTCTGCCTTAAACAAATCACAGAAGAATTTTTTTTAAATCTAGTAATATTACAGGTAAACTATGAATAAATATAATGAATACCCTCATTTTCAACAATCTTGTCTAATTTTCTAGGTGAAAAATCCTATCTCACTGTATTAAATTGCATTTCTTTGATTATTACTGAAATTGAAAAATTTTTACATCTCTATTGCCTATATGTGGCCATTACTTTCAATTTTCTGTTTATACCCTTTTCATGCCATTTTTTCTATGAAGTGTTCATCTTTTTTTATTCATTTACAACTGTAAACCTGCTTTGCCCCACGCTATATGTGAATAGCTTCCTCATCTGTAAAGATATGTAAGTCGATACAGGGATTCTTTCTTACACACTCTTAGACATACATATTTTTAAGACTTTGAAGAGAAAGTAATTTCTTCCCATAAGATATTTGGGAACCCTACCGGTGTTCAATGAAGGGCTACCGGAAATTTTGAATGACATAATGAAATCTATCTTCAAGAAGATCACGCTATTGAAAAAGTAGGACAGAGAAAGTAAGCAGTAAAGGAAGGAGGAAAATTCAGGGAATCTGTTGCTAACATGAGATGATCGGTGCATACCATGGCGGTATCTGCAGAGATGGGAAGGGAGGGACTTGAGTCTAGTGTACAGAAAGGAGAAAGGAAAGGAAAAAGCCTGGAGATACCAAGGTTAAGCCTTAAGTATTGGTGGAAGGGACAAAATGTTTATTTTACTTTATGTTTATTTGTATGATCTGTAGCCTAAGCCTTCATTTAAGGACCCAGCAGTAATTTCAGAAATGGTATGTGCTGTTTGTTTTGAATGTGATAAGACAACGAGTGACTGGTAGCTTAGACTCCCACTTTCTGGTTATCACTTTTGACTTGTTTAGACACTGCGTGCCACAGGAAGTTCATGGTGTATTGAGCTCCTCTGATTTATCGGAAACCATTTGCAAATAGAGACCTCGGAAACACCCTGTTCCAATTAAATAGCTTTGACTCTGACTTAGAAGAATCTCAGCTCCCAGAAGATAAAGATGAAAATTGGTTACATGTGCTGTTACCTACAAACTCATCACACCCAAAAGGAACCATCCTTGGTGGCATTTTTCTTGGATGAAACCATTTGTTGATGACAGAGCACACATTCTGTTGAACATCTATGTCATCTATTCCTAAAGGGCAGGGGAAAAGTGAGCTTTTTCTAGCCATCAACATTTCGTGCCCAGGGAAAGCCCTGGATTCAGCCCAAAGGCCAGAAGAATGTTCTTAAGGGGAAAGAAAAAAATCATGATCTCTTCAAGCAGCTTAGTGGAAAAGTCAGCTAATGAAAACCCAATTAGAATAGTGTGGCATTTGAAAGAGGTAGCACAAATCCCTTCAGGAGACCAGCAAGAACAGTTATTCACTGAACCTTCATTCATTCTCTCCTATGTATCAGGCTTCGATGGAGGGCTTGAAAACAAAGTGGTGAATGAGGTAGGGAAAAAAAATCTCTGTCTTCATGGGGCTTACATTCTAGTGGGAGAGATACACAATTTGCAAGTAAACATGTAAGATTTCCCATGGTGAAATAACAATCTATATATATAAAAGCCTAAGCGACCATTACGACTGAATGACCAGAATGACCGATGGAACAGTCGTTATGACACACACTGACCTCCAGGGGGCAGACCCTCAATGCAGGAGCTGCCCCTTGGTGGTCAGTGCGCTCCCACAGCCAACATTCTGCGGCCCCTCCCCGCTTCAACCAACCTCCCATGGCCCCCATCGGGACTGGGCGAGACAGATCCAACCAGCCAGATCTCTGGCCAGGCCAAGGAACCCCACCATGCACAAATTTGTGCACCAGGCCTCTAGTAAGAAAATAAATATGATAAGGGATAGAGTGGTGTGGTTGGAGAGGGTGATCTGGGAAGAGCTCTCTGAAGAGCGGACTTCTGAACTGAGATGTGGAGGATAAGAAGGAGGAAGCCACATCGAAGAAAATAAGTCCCGGCAGAGTGTCAGCAAGTGTTAAGGGCCAGGGCTTGGTGTGCAGGAGAGACAGCAAAAGCCCAGTGAGGCTGGATATGAGTGAGGAAGGGAGAGTGCAAGAGATCAGGTCTAAGAGTAGGTGGCTCTCATATGGCCTGCCAACCAGGGTAGAGAGTTTGGATTTATTCTAAATGAAAGTCATTGGTGGGTTTTAAGCAGGGATGTGACGAGGAGAATGAAGAAAGTCTCCCTGGAGGTGGAAGGCTGATTCCTGAATTTCATCTTGAAGGAGCAGGCATTAGGCTAGGCAAAGTCATGTAGTGGGGAAGACATAGGAAGGGAAAATGGCATTCTGAGCAACCATAAATCACTCTCAATGCTGAACTAGTGAATTCAGCTCAAGCTAGTGGAGAGAAAGACGGCCTATTCAAGAAATAGTGCCAGGAAAATTGGCTATTCCTTTGGTGGGGTGAGATGGAATAGAGATTTCTATCTTGCGTTATTCTTGAAAATAAGTCAGGTGAATGAAAGACATTAAGATTATGAAATTATTAAGAAAAATATAGGGAAATACATTTATGGTCTTTCTGAGCTTAGGGATCGCTCCTTTTCTTTGAACTAGTGACATTACTAAACAAAACATAAATTAAAATGAATAATTTGACTACATTAAAATCAAGAGGACAGAAATCAAGACACCATAAACAAAGCTAAATATCTGAAAAAAACTGGAAGGAAATGTTTACAACATAAATAACAGCAAAAATTAGTACAAGCAATACATAAATAACTCGTATAAATAAAAACAGAAAGGATAAACAATCCAGGGCAGAAATTGGCAAAGGCTGTAAAGAGGAAATTTACCAAAAGGGAAATACAAGTGGCCAATAAGCATGCAAAACGTCTGGAACTGATTAATAATTAGAAAAATGCAAATTCGTGTAACTGGCTGCCATTTCCACCTATCAGATTATCAAACATTTTGAATTGTGATAAATTTAAAAGTTGGAGTGAACATATAGAAATACACATTTTCATATATTACCAGTCGGGGCATGGTTTTTAATCTTTTGCTGGTTTTTAGCACTGTACATTAAAATAAAATGCAATTCTAATTTAGGTATCTTCCCTGGGAAATCTTTGCACATGTGCACAAGGATGTTCATTGCAGCGTTGTTTCTTATGGAGAAAGGGTGGAAACCACCTAAATGACCATCAACAGTGAAATGGCTAAATGCACTGTGCTCAATCAATAATTCCAAATATTAGGCTGCGGTTGAAAAAACTGAGGAGGTTTTATATGTGTTAACATTGAAAGAGGAAAGTAGAGGAGAATAGCTTTGGGGAAAGGAAAGAGAGATTTTAGATTAAGTCATAAGGTGGTGTGTTTGTTATGAGATTAATTCATTGAGGATATCATTCCCTATTCTCCATTTGGCCATTTATATCATTGGATGTCATAAGCAGGCACATTTAAATTCTCTGAGAGAGAGGGGTGTTTTTTTATAACCCTTGTCCCCACAAATGCACAACCTCTCCCACCATCCACATCCACTGGATTTGTGCATTTGTTACACCTGATGAACCTGCGTTGACACATCCTATCACCCAAAGTTTATAGTTTACATCAAGGTTCATTCAATCTTGGTGATGTATATACTATGGGTTTTCCAGAATAGTATCATACAGAATAGTTTCACTGCCCTCAAAATCCTCTGTAAAATGCATGTATTTTTTAATACAGTATCAAAGGGTTCTTGACCCCTTGAAGCCCAGTCATGGCCTCAGATTCGAAATCTGGGCTGCAAGAGAATAAAGTCTCCACACCACCCCTTTTTGGCATTACTCTATCCTTCCCTCTTAACACTGGGCCACAACCAGCATTTGCTCCTTAAGTGACAGGCTGGTGCAGACTTGGCATCCACACTGAGAACTTGCGTAGCTCTCTAGGGAGTGGAAGCAGACAGTTCCCTGCTTGGTCAGAGAAGATCTGAGCCCCCGGCCAGAGGGCTTTTCTCTGCTCAGCAAGACCATCTTCTCCACAGACCAGTGTCTTCCAGAGAACCCTGTTACACAGTCTGCCAGACTTGAAACTGCAAAGCTCTATT